AAAAAAAAAAATAGGCCGTGATCATTTGATAGTTTACCTATATATAAAGAAAATTCTATAAAATATGTATATAAATGTAAAATATATATATAATTTATTAATAACTAAAACTTATCCTTCTATGCTATTTTAATTTATATTAATAATATTAAAAAATGTACTAACAATCATTATATTTTACGTTTTCAAATAAGTTTTGGAAAATATTATAATTATTTATTCTTTCGCTCTCTTACTTGTAAATATATTTAGTGATTTATAAAATCTAGTATTTAGTTGGATTGTTACATTATTGAATGTTGAATTTTACTTTTTTTGTGTAATCACATATTTTTAAATTTATTTATTTTTTTCTTAAAAATGTTCATTTGATAAAAAAGCTCTTATGAACAAAAATGTAATGCCATGTGCTGCAAAATTTCAATTTAAATAATTTTTTTCACAAAAAAAAAACTTACTTTTCCATAAATTATAGTTGTTGAACTTAAACTATAAATACGTGAAATCTCATTTATTTTTTTTTTTTTAAAAAAAAGTTTGAAGTTGATACGAATTCTAAGTTTTTAAAAACTTGATCACACACATATCAATATTTATATTTCTAGTAAATACATTTTTATGTGAAATGAGATGTTTCAATTTAAACTACAAGCTCGTTATTTAACACTAAAATCAGGACCCCTGACTAAAATTTCTAGATCCGTCACTGCAGTTGATGCTTTTTTTTTTCCTACACAAATTTTCTTGTATGGCTTAATAATATGAAGTTGTTTTCTCCTTTTTTTTTTTAATGCTACGTACGTGGGTCTGTTGTTGGAAGATTAATTCGTGAGTTATCTCACATTGATTCTGTTATGAGTTGTCTCACGGTATCTGTTGGCAACTTTTAAAGTGTCTTTTAATTAACTTTCAACAAACTTTCAAAACTTTTTATGGAAAAGACACAAACTCTCATAACTCATTTGAAGGTACCAAATTGAACACTCTCTTTTGATATATGTATGTCACAGTGACAGTGTCAGTGTGGTTAACACTTCTCAAATTTTTTAATCTCTATAACTCATTAATAATTTGATTTCCAAGCAATTAAAAATGAAGGAATAATGTAAAAAAATTAAATTTGACCATAAAATCATTTGATTTCCATGCACTTAAAAATGAAGGAGTTATGTGAACAATTGAATGTGACCATCACAATCTATGCCTTTATTATTACTGGTGCAGGTGGTCCTTGATAGCCAGCTATTTACCAGGTAGAACTGACAACGAGATAAAAAATTACTGGAACTCACACTTAAGCCGTAGAATTTACAGCTTCAGGTCCATAGCCAACTCCCACTCTCCTCTCTCCCCTGCAGACATCATCAAGATCGCCAAAACAGCCAAGAAAAAGCCCGCGGGCCGGGCCTGCCCTCCGAAACGCAGCAAAAACAAGGCCCACGCGCAGAAACAGTACCCGGGCCAAGAACTCGGCCCGGCCCGAACACCTCCGGTTGACAAAGTGGCCACCGATGTTGCGGGCCCGCCACGATGCACCTGCCAACGTGACCTGTCAAGGCCCGGCCCGAAAACGAGTTCCAGGCCGCAGGAGTCGGAGGTGGACACGGGCCCGGATGCAGAGCAAAAGACTGAAAGCCCGATAAAAAGTTCTTCGATTTCCAGCAATGACGTCCCACCACCGAGCGAGGGCATGGAAGGAGGAGAATGGGGTCGTGCGGCTATTATGGCGTTGCCTAAAGACCCGACCGATAATTACGCAGAGGTTTCGGGCCCGTCATGGGAGGAGGAGATAGACGAGGAGGCATTAATAACCTTCGAGAAATTTCTAGAAGAAAGTGATGTCGCGGTGGGACCGGAAGGAGACATTCCCCCTATTAACGATGATGTCACGAACAACATTGTGGCTTCGGAAAGGGATTACATGGAAATCGAGAGCTTGCACGCGTGCTCGTCTCCCCGGGCTTCGTATTTCGACGACCAAATGTTTAGTTGGGATCATGGTGGAGATGCGTTTGGGGACATTGTTAGTAGTATTTGGAGTGAGGAGGAAGAAGAGGACATTAGGATTTGGTCATAGGAAAGGGAAATAGCAAATAAGGATAATAGTGACAAGTGAGTGGTGGGTTTTAATAAGAATGAGAATGTTTACAAAGTTTGATCTAGATTGTCATATGCATGTAAGAAATCTTGGAACAAGTTGAAATTTCATTCCATTTTTTATATTTATTTTTTTGAAGAAATAAGAAATAAGAAAGATCATGAAATAGGCATGGAGATTAGCAATCACACGAGGTATTACTGTTCGATCAACACACATCAGTCACCGAAATCTACCAGTAAAAATTCCGATTACTTCACTCGAATGAGCACGTGTGTAGAATCTCTTGCATTGCTATTTATTAATTCCTAATCAGAAAGGAAAGTTGAGAAACTTGTACGATGGCGAAAAAATAGTCTGTGAAACAATGTCGAGAGACCTACATTGAATGTAAACTACAAGGTTCCTAACAACTAAAGCAACAATACATCGGTCACTAGTTCATCAATCAAAGAATTAAGAATGCAGGTCTCGATTTGTATACCTTGCTCAAAGGCCTCAACGTCATAGTCGAGCCATTTCCCGTGCGCGCTGCTCATGTCCTTGTCGACAAGCTCGTCTATCATGGAATCCCCTACTCCACTCGAGCCCGTAATTTCTTTTAAAACCTCCTCAACTAGTTTTTCTTTTCTTTTAATTACCGATACACCCTTGGCCCACGATTTGCATCCTTCGCTAACATATGGTCTGAATCTCAAATCCATGCATTCGCTTACATAGTCGAACAAAAGTCTCCTGTCCGTTCTTGAAATGTCTCCGGCTAGACTTAACTGCCCTTTCGAAATTTCAAACTCCAGTTGGTCAAAGAGATGAGGTTTTATGACCCCTTCAGATTGGCCATGAGCATAATCCTCAAACATTAGTTGTAGATGGAAAAGTATCTCGCTTACGTATGCGAGTTCCCACTTTCGGGGGGACTTGGCAGGGTTAGTCAAGTCCAAGGGTGTTTTTTTTCACTTGCAATTTCACAACGGTGCCTGTAGAATTTGACGATGCCGAGTCGGATAATTCAGCATCTCCTTCACCTGTGAGGAACATTTTCGAGGAATACATATCGAGCAGTTCTTGAGCTTGAATCGATGATGAACATTGCTTGTTACCTGCATTTGGTAATAATATAACAAGCAACGTTTAGTTTGTAAAATTTTAAAAATTACGCTTTTTGAAAGAAAACTGATGTCAGGGCTAATGGTAGACAAACATTGTTATACTTCGACAAATACGGCTTCGGTTTTTGAAGAGAAAACGTAACACAAAACTAAGAGTATATTTGCGATTTTCATACATGTGAGTTCTTTTTGCTTTTTTTTTTCTCTGTAATTAGCTCAAAGTTCAGGGACATTTGCAGTAATAGTAAAAGCACGTTTGATACCTCCCACAATGTTGCTTTCTGCAGTGTCTGAAGAATTGCAACTTTCAGCATGAGGAGAAAGGTCAAGAACTGAAACTGGACTTGGAAGCCGACAATCGAGTGACTTATCAGCCTGAGATATGTAGCTATCGGTCATGCTAAATTCTTCCTGCAACTCCTACATAGAACAATGGAGATATAATGTTAACGGCTTCAATAGCATTTATTGCGCAACAATATCATCGAATTTTTTCTAATGGCTTTCCTCATTGCACCTTTAATTGCTGCACTTATGAACAAATATAAAATGGAATATATTTTCCAAAGCAACTGATTCAGTAAACCAAAAATTTTAGTTTGTTGAGATAATAATGGTAAATAAGCTTGTAAAGATAAATAAACATTTTCACCAAATTATTTCACTCATAAACATTTTACCATATTATTTTTAATATAAACATTGGGTGTACCTGATTATCTATGTCCATTTCATCTACAGCTTTATTATCTTCCGTCTCGGTTGACCCAAATACTGCATTCCCATCAGATACCATCGTATCGTGTAAACCAGAACCCGACTTGTGTTTGGAAAACTCAACCTTTTGAGCCAACTCTTTAATCTTTTCTTCCAAGAGACTGCTTAATGCATCACCACTATTCATATTACCCCCAACATACAACCTTTTACTCTGAGAACCCGCCGAAAAGATCTTGTTTCCCTCAGCAGGCCCCGTGTGGCTAAATCCTGATCGTGCCATTGGGGCATTGAAAGTGAAGGAAATAACGTCTGTTCCACCTTTACCCCTATCCTTATCCAATCCAACGGCATTTGAGTTCTTACCAGCTTCCCTTTTCTCCGAGTTGTGATTCCCATCCATGCATCTTTTTTTTCGAGCAACTATTCCCGAGCTAGAGGCAGAAGAACACAACGCTTTGTTCTTATCGTCTTTGACCTCAGAGCCCGACTTTTTCGAACTAGTACTAACTCTAGACATCTCACCAAGTTTGCTTTTCGCGACATTCGTTTTGGATTTTACTGGTGATTGTCCCCTATCGGTCATGCAATTCTGTTTCTGGTTATTCTGGCGAAGCACATTCATGACGTTTGGGCCACCACTAGGCTTCTTTGCAATATTTTTCTGTGCCACCACAGGTTGATTTCTGTAGAGATTAGTAGTACTATTATTATTACTAGGACTGACCTCAGACGTTTCTTTCTTGTTTGCTGCATGCATGCCTTCTCGTTTCTGGACGTTCGCCTTCGCTTGCAACGCGAGCGAGATCGACTTTCCCTTATTCTCCGGGCCCAATGACCCGTTCCAGCTTTTGTTCATGGACTGCCCCTTGAGATTCTTGACGGTACTACTAGCTTCAGAATTTTTATGGGAACCCTCGAAAGCCTTTGACAGAGGTTTTCGGGCCGGTCGAGCTTTCTCCTTGAGATCCTCCGCCACGCGTAAGGGGGCCGACGAAGAGGACCCAAACGGGGGCAGTTTCGTCCTTTCGCTCGGACCAGCTCTTGGCTCGATGATCCTAGCGGCGGCCTCCATTATTCGAGCTGCATCCTTAGATGGCGCGAAATGAGGGCTTTTTATCGGGGACAGAAGCTTGTGATGGGTGACGGGTATCGACTTGGCAGTTTTTGGCGGCAAGATTTCGGTTTGGAATTTTTCGATGGGCCGGTTGATCACTTTATGATGGTGGTTTATCATCTTCACAGCATTATGGACAGGCAAGTCGTGCAAACGGCCAGATTTCGTGTTACAATCATGAAAAGCTTCGGTTTTCTGAGTTTGTTGGTGGTAATGATTTGGAGTATGAAGGGACTGAAAGTCGGTAAGTGGAGTGGATTTCGGCAAGGAATCCAATCCCATAAGCTTTGCAACAACCCCCGGGGCCTTTGTCTCGTAAAAGTCCTCATCCATCACTGATGAAGAACAACTATAATCACTGCCTTCTTTTATACTTGATGATGATCCAGCTGTAATTTCATCAACTTCCAACTACACATACATAGAAAGAAAAATTCTTTCAGTTCTTGTTACAAAAATGATTACACAATATAAAAATTTCAACTAATTCATCATCCATATGATATTGTTCTCACCATCTGAAGCCGGGTCCTTGGCAAGTTTCCATCACATCTTTTCTTCTGTTTGGATCGCCCTACATTAATCAGAAAAGAACAACATTGTTTGATAGTTGAGACCTTGTTTAATCAGTAATTCGACGTGTACATACAGAAACTCGGGAGCATTGTGTTTTTGCACTCGTGTGCGTAATTCCACACACAAAAGAAGAAAAAGGCACTAGCGGACGGTAGGTACCTACAGATGACAAAGAAGTTTATACAAAATCAAAAACTGTACCAGCTGAATCGGATTTGCCCGAGAACAACTTTTTTCGAGATTTTGCATGCCAATCGAACATCTGAAGAAAGCCTCCGACATAATTTCCACCTCTAGAGCCTTGTTTTTCAATCCCCATCCTGACAGGTCGACATTGCCATTAGGGTACACGAAAAACATGAAAAGGAAAAGAACGATAATACTTCATCAAGAGCTTAAACATTAAGAGAGAAACCGAAACATAACACAACAATACATTCTGAAAGATTCATTTCATGATTCGAAAGATTCATCATAACACAACAATACAGGTTTGGGATTCCTTACAATGTCGTAAAGTCAAAAGGGAATAACGAATCCATTATGCAGCATCTGACGAACAATAGTTTTTAACAAACTATTACACTGAATTTTCAGGTACTCATGCGTGTGAAAGAGAACATTAGCTTCAAAGTTTATATTAAAAGCTCCAGAGAAACCAAAACAATACAGGTTTGGGATTCCTTACAATGTCGTAAAGTCAAAAGGGAATAACCAATCCATTATGCAGCATCTGACGAACAATAGTTTTTAACAAACTATTGCACGGGACTTTCAGGTGCTCGTGTGAGTGAAAGCGAACGTTAGGTTCAAAGTTTATATCAAAGCTCCAGAGAACAAAATACGGAAAAACTATGATCGGCTAAACTGGAAATTTCAAGGGCAATAACTACATTGTGCACTCACTGAATCAGCCATCACTGGATAGTTGTACCACAACAGCTGGACTTAGTTTACATGCCTAAGATGAACAATGGGGATTTATTTTCTCCAAGTTTATATGGAAACACAGTAAATGAAACACTCACCAGCAACAGGACTACCAAAAGCCCAAAAAATGTGGCAAGAAAATATATAATCCTACTTAAGTGCATACACTTCATAACATCAGAATTCATCCAAAAGCCCACATCTTCAAACCCATTTCAATTACTGCCCCCAAAACTCCAATTTAAGGCTCTTAAAGAAATAACTATAAATGGCCAATTTGAAAAGTTCAAAAAAAAAAAAAATAATAATAATGATCTGGGTTTTTTCCAGGTAATAAATTCCAAAACTAAAGTCCATTTTTTTCGAAGTTTTTACAGATTTCTTTATTAAATTGTACTCAATTTACACTTCAATTCAGCAAATTTTAACAGAATAATGACAATAAAGATCACAATTATACTACTGATAGTTAAACTGAGCTTATCAATGACACTATTAAATACGATGCAACAAAGAATAGAAAAAAAAAAAACCTAATCTTTTTTCCATTCTTGGACTTGAGAGCATTAAAAACGATGTGAAATCAAGAAAACTCACACAGCCCAGTTGAAATCAAGACTCTTGAGCTCAACCCCTCTGCAAAGCTACAAACTTTATGGGAAAAAAATCTACTGTTCATCAAGAAAAAACGAAGAAAAATGGTGGCTGAGAGAGATTTGAAGGGAGAAAGAGAAAAATTTGGAAGTTCTTGGTCAGAGAGAGAGAGAGAGAGAGAGAGAGAGCAGTGAGAAAAGGAGTTGTCGAAGAGCGTTCTTCAACGTTTAGAATAGTTTTAGGCAATAAATGAGGACACATTGGGAAAAAAAAAAAGGATTTTTTTTGGAGGGTTTGAAAAATTAAAATTAAAGGAATTAAATAATTTATATAAACAATAGTAAAATTAAGGGCTGTATTCATTTCTAGTTTCAATTTTTTATTTTTTTTTCAGATACTAAGATTGGTTTATTTAATGAAGATTTTTAAAAAAAAAAATTAAAAAGTATTGAGTTGTTTTATTTGAGATTAAAAATATTGTAAAACAAATTACAAATTATTCAATTATTTACCACTTTGATTTGTATGAATTTACATGACTTGAACAGTGAAATTTCAAAGGTAAAAAATTCATATTACACGAAATTTCACACAAAATTTCGAACTCTCTCTCTCTCTCTCTATGTATATGATTTTCAAGAATTTTATTAAATTAATAAATCTTACAAAATATTTTTTTTGTAATAAATAAAATATTATTGAGCCCCAAAAAAGTTGAATCCTACTAAATTTTTTATAGGAAAATAAATGGTAACTTGTGAATAAAAAGGTTAAAAGTTGTAACGTCTCTTTTTTTCCTGGGAGGGGAGAGATTTCAAATTCCACGGGAAGTTGGGGCCCATCTTTAGAGTAGGGTTTAATTGCCTGCGTGGCGGTGTAGGGTAAGCCTATCTTTGGTGTAGCAAGGTTGTGCTTTATTTATATTATTTATTTATATTTATTGGCACTTAGCCTAATGTGTTTGTTTTTTCACATTACCTTAATAACTAGTATGGTACCCGTGCGCAGCACGGCGGGGTTATTTCCTCAAACCTTTTTTTCTAAACTTTATTTTAAATATTTTTTTATAAATTAATAATTTAATTACAATAGAAAGAGGATAGAGGAATACAAAATATAAACAAAAATCATATATTATTAAACACTTCTCTATACACAACATTATTGGTTTAATTTTCTTTCAAACCTTCTTCTCCACAAATTAAAATTTTCAGACCCTTTCTGTTAGTAACACGGGAGACAACGACATATAACTGGTCATGTCTAAAAAATGGTTTCTTCAAGAATAAGTCAACATGCGATAATGATTGACCTTGAATCTTGTTTATAGTCATTGCGTACGAAACCATAATGGAGAAGTGCCTTCTTTGAAATTTGAATGGTACTCTAACATCAGAAGGAGTTATTGTCATCCGAGGTATCAAAACTTTATCACATGCAAGATCGCCAGTAAGAATTTTACACTCGAGAACATGATTGGAGAGTTTAGTAACAACCAATCGTGTACCATTGCAGAGTCCCATTGAGTGATCCATATTCCGCAAAACATAACTGGAGTTCCGACCTTCAAATTCAATTCATGGTTCGACGTTCCAGAACACTTGATAGTGTTCAAGAACTCATGAGTATGGACTTGTGCCACAAAGTCGGTATTGGAGTCGGATTTACATGTACTGTATGAACTTAAATACGTGCGTCCCTCAGTCAAATTTAACGACGACATGTATTCATTAATAGATTCTACGATATCGAGTGTTGGTGCAAGTAACTTGGATCGTCGGTTGCATTCTTGAACATCGGAAATGTGCTTTCAACAATTTTTACAACTGGATCATCAGATGGCTCTAGTAATAGATCATTTGGTATGTCTATCGGAGAACATCCATCATTTTTACCCCTCAATGTTCCATCTCCAATGCTCGCTATCCAATCAGCAAAAGCGGCAACTCGTCATGTTCATTCGAATCGCCAATGCTTTGAAGACGCATATTTTTTGTAAGCCTAAGCACAGTACATTCTCCCTAAATGCTAGAAGAGTTAATAGCAGCATTAACAATCTTCTGACGACTACCCTTTGGAACTACCAGAAGAATTTGTAGAAAGTCTCCACCAAACACAACAGTCTTGCCTCCGAACAGTTTATGATGATTTGTCGGGTTGAGGGCTCCCATTACTGTTTAAAAGATGCTTGAACAGCTTCAAAAAAATGTTTATGCATCATTGGTACCTCATCCCATATGATCAATGAAGAGCGATTAATCAACTCAGCAAGGGGACTAGCCTGATTGATCTCACACGATGAATTTTCATGCACAGAAATAGGAATGCCAAATCGAGAATATTGTGCAGTTCGTCCGCCCGAAAATAGGAAAGATGTTATTCCACTTGATGTAACACAAAGCACAATTCGACCGTGCAATCTTAGCCAAGCAGCTAAAGTCCTCCACAAGTATGTCTTTCCAGTTCCACCATAACCATACACAAAAAACACGCCGCCCCTGCCGGAATGAACATATGTCATTATTTTAGAATAAACAGCCTTCTGTTCATCGGTCATATGTGTCAGCAATGCATCATGCTCAATAGCTAGAGCCTTACGGTCATAGTTAAGTTCATCCAAAACCAGAAGGTTCGCACTTGAATTAATACTACCCATATCTGGAAAAGGCATAGTAGAATAGTCCTTTATCCCAAACCCAGTCTAACTCAACCCAACATAATATTTATTTTATATTTATTTATATATTTATTAAATATTATCTACAATAATTTTTTTGTTATTGTTTTAGTTGTGATATGATAAAATAAAAGATATGATAAAATTGATAAGTTACGATTAAGAAAAAAGAGTGAAAAGATAGAAATTGCAATTATGTTCCAAAATATATCAAGAGTGGTCTCTATTTATAGAGAATGAAAAATAAATTTTTATTTATTTTTTTCATATAAATTAATATCAATAATTTGAGTTACAATTATCTTATTATAGAAAAATTTTATAGACCAATAACAATGGGACATTTGCTCCATTTCACTCACCTCATTTCTCTCTCCCTCCTTGTGTCTAGGTTGCGATCTAGGGTCACAATTTGACCTGAGTCGCAGATTTTGCTATTTTTTTATTTTTTTATTATTTTTTAGTTGGTGACCTAATAAATACGAATTTTGTTATTTTTTATTATTTTTTTATTATTGTTTTATTATTGTTTTATCTACAACCTAACCCAACATAATAATTTTAATTGTGTTCCAAAACATATCAAGAGTGGTCTCTATTTATAGAGTATGAAAAAATACGAATTTTGGTATTTTTATTTTATTTTTTTAAAATATAATAATATCAATAATTTGAGTTATACTTATCTTATCATATAAAATTTATAGTGGACCAATGAAAATAGGACAAGTGTCCATTCCTAATTTATGAAAGTCAGATAATATGGAATCTCCAAAAAATCTTCATGTAATTTTTTTATTTAGATTTTTTAATTTATTTATTTTTTCAAAATTTTCAAAATTGGCGCTCAAATTTTAATTTTAGCCAAAAATCTTTCTCATTTTATTCACTTTGGGCGGGAATTGGCTTCTTTTTTTTTTTGCTGATTTTTTTTCATCTTTTTTCAAATAAATATCATTCTCTCTTTATATATTAATAGATTAGTGGTTAGTTTTAATGTGTAGTTATAATTGATTTATAATAAAAATAGTATATTTAAAAATATAAATACATAAGAGTTAAAAATGAAATAAATAAATCAATACTTTTATAGTGTATTTTAAAAAAAAAATTGTAAA